AATGCAAAGGACCTAGGAGGGAAGCGTGCTTGGAGGACTGAGCAAAGGAAGGGGCTGGAGAGTAAAATATAAGTGAAGAGACCAGTAGGGTAGTGGGGTCCAGATTATGTAGAGTCTTGGAACCATGATAAAGACTTCAGATTTTATTGTGAGTAAAATCGAAGCCCATTGGAAGTTTGTGAGCAGAAGAATATGATCTGTTTATATTTTTGGAAACATTACTAAGTTCTTCAATCCAGCTTTGACCCGGAATATATTTTTACCACCATCTTTCTGATCTGTGTGTCTACATCTCAAATGGCTCCAAACTGGGAGGGAAAAGCAAAGGTGTATAACTTTACCTTCTAAGTGACAGTATCTGTCATACCAAATATGTAAGTAATTCTATAACTTGATATGTTCAATCACCATCAGATTATTGAGATTTATCCTTGACGGTCTGTACAGCTTCAATTTATTCCTTTAAACTAGTTGCAACAGACCATTGCATAAATTAGGCCACAATGTATTTATCTACTCTACTGTTAATGAACACGTGCTTTTTAATTTTCCATTACAAATCAATGCATCAGAAAACAGTCCTCTATGTCACGGGTTCCCAAGCCCCAGACCATTAGGAACCAGAAGGCACAACAGGCGGTGAGTGGCAGGCTTGGAGCAAGTGTTATCACCTGATCTCTGCCTCCTGTAAGATCAGTGGTGGCACGAGATTATCACAGGAGCTCGAACCCTATCGTGAACTGTGAGGGATCTAGGTTGCACGCTCCTTATGAGAATCTAACTAATGTCTGATGATCTTCTAAGGTGGAACAGTTTCATCCAGACACCATCTCCTCCAAACCCCTCCTGGTCCGTGGGAAAAATGATCTTCCACAAAACGCAAAAAGGTTGGGGACTGCTGGTCTATGTGTCTTCATTGAGTACAAAGTCTCTAATTTCACACCTTGATGGAAATTGTTGAGTCAAATGTGTTTTCATTCCAGAATGATGAATACTAGAGGCTGGGAAGCGTATCAGGGTAGGAGCAAGGATAAAGAAAGATTGGCTAATGGGTACAAACATGCATTTAGATAGAAGGAATACATTCTGATGTTCAATACCAGAGTATGGTGACTATCGATAACAACAATCTATTATATATTTCAAAATAGCCAGAAGAAAGGACCTGAAATGATCCCAATACATAGAAATGATAAATACTCAAGGTGGCGGACACCCCAAACACCCTGACTTGATCATTATACAGTCAGTGCATTAAACTGAATATCACATATGTACCCCATAAATATGTACAAATATTTGTATCAAAAATAAAATAAAAGGTGTTTACATTCTACAACTGTTTTAGATCATGAAAATTCTCTCTAACGTGATTCTGCAGCAGCTTTTGTGAGACTCTCCATTTCTCTATACCATTGTCAACATGTTTTATCATCTGACTTTTTCATTTGTGTCAACTTACAAGTATGAAATCATCCTTCATTACAGTTTTTATCTGCATTTCCCTTGACACTAGTAAGCTAAAACTTTTATTTACACTTTTATTGGATATTCAGGTTTCCTCTTCGTGAATTGTCAATTCATATCCTTTGCTCATTTTTCTGCCCAGTTAACTATCTTTCTCTTACAAATTGGTGGGAATTCCATGTAAATTATAGAAATAAATTATTTGTTAGTATTTGCTCTCCAAATATTTGTTGTTAACTTGTAACCTGTCTTTATTTTTGTTATAAAGCTTGGTAAAGGAAACTTTTTAATCTATAATGTAGTAAAATTTATCAATATATCTTGAAAGTTTATGATATTTATACCTTGGGAAATCCCTTTATACCCCTCAGGTCATAAAATATATTTTGTATTTTCTCTAAAAGTTACTGTTTTCTTAAACCTGCCCAAAGTTTACTTTTCTATTTAGTGTGAATAGATAAATATTACCTTTTTTTTCTGTAGGAATAGCCAGTTGTCCGTAGTCCTTCCTTTCCCCATCAGTATCTAATATCCTTTCTTTTGTATATCAGATGTATATATTCTGTTCAGTTCCACAGGCCTACGCTTGAGCACACAGCATGCTGTTTAATTACTAAGGCTTTATAAAAAAGTCTTGATATCTGGTAAAAACAAGTTCCCATATTTTTTTCTTCTTCATAATTGAAAGATCAAGTTATGGTCTTTCATTTAATTTGTAGGATCAGTCTTCTTTTAACTTCACCAAAAAGACTAAGATGAACATCTCATTCACATACATAGTATCTCTTCATTTATTTGGGCACCTTCTTTTGTATCCTTAAATAATATTTTATACTTTTCTCCATATGTCTTATAATTTTTTAAATTTATTCCAAAGTAATTTATAGTTTTGGTTTTAATAATTTATATATTTTAATAATTTTGAGATAATTTTAGAATGTCCAGGTAGATAATAAACATTATCTTTCCCCCCAGTTCTTATACATTTTCCCTGTATATTATTGCTTTGAACCCTGAGGACATTTTTGAACAGACATAATAATAGTAGTCATTGGCGTTTTTCTTTATGTTAATGAAAATGCTTCTAAAGGCTATTAAGTCTATTTTTGTTGTTGTTGTTTGTTTGTTTGTTTGAGACATTCTTATTCCGTCACCCAGTCTGGAGTGAAATGGTGCAATCTTGGCTCACTGCCACCTCCACCTCCCGGGTTCAAGTAGAATTACTATATGATCCAGCAAACTCAAAAAAAAAGAAAAAAGAAAAAGAAAGAAGGAGAAGGAAGGAGAAGGAGAAGAAGGGAGGAGGAGGAGGAGGAGGAGAAGAAGGGAGAAGGGAGAAGGGAGAAGGGAGAAGGGAGAAGGGAGAAGGAAGAAGGAAGAAGGAAGAAGGAAGAAGGAAGAAGGAAGAAGGAAGAAGGAAGAAGAAGAAGAAGAAGAAGAAGAAGAAGAAGAAGAAGAAAGGCCTTCCGTGACCACCTTACCCTAGCAAAAGCAGCACCCTCCTCCCACCCCAAGAGACACTCAACCTCATTACCTCCAATCTACAGTTTTCATAACAAAGCAGTTTTCTGGAATTACTTGAATTATTTATCTGATAATTTCCCATTATTTATGTTCTTCACTATTGATAGTCTCCTAAAAAGCAAAGACTTTTTTCTTTACTGTTGCTTTTAGTATCTGACTATTGCTAGGTGGTCAGTAAATACAATATATAAGGTATAATACTGGAACACATACACACAGCCACAGACACAGAGGCACACAAAGACACACACACACATACACAATACAGGTTATCTGACATATATGATAGTATGTTATATATAGTATATGTTTCATATACATGTGCTATACAACATCTGATGTACAGTGCATAATATACAATGTATAATATATAATAAAGTATATAGCAGTCAATATACAGTATATACTATATGCAACAACATAATATGAAAGTATTTTAAAGATATAAATCTTAAAATTTTTTAGTCCTACTTCTATAATTCCTCCAAAGTCACAAAAACACAGAGAGGAAGAGAGAGAGAAGAAAGAGAGAGGAAGAGATGATGTAATTTGAAAGAGGATCTAGCTGTTGCCAAGCCCTGCTCTACATAGGACTGCACTTGCTTCCCCGTTCTAACTTAAGCTGTCAGAGGAAAGGAGTGGCACCCAGGGGGCACTGGTCTGTGAGTTCCAGAGGCATCATCTTGCTGCGGTATGAGCTAAATGCCAACTCTCATTGTCACCTGCACTACTCCTTGATGAGAGAATGGATCTGTGGTCCCTTTTCATGAAGTGTTGTCTTCTAAGAGCCTTGACATACTAGTTATGGAATAGCAGTAATAAAGGGACTTTACTGGGGCCTGTTTCCTTTCCAACACAGTCCATTCTGGGAGTCATGGAATCCTTCAGTTGCACAGATCCTTGAAGTCCAAATGGACATATAACTAATGAAACAGCATATTGCAGGTACCTTACTTAGATACATTCCTCTGCTTTAGTGCAAAGAAAGAACAGGGAGAAAACTAGGTCATGTTTTTCAACTACTTCATATTTTTCATGTTTTCTACTATTATTGGCCTTTTCCATTAATCTTAAAATGTGATTTTCTACATCTTTGATTTCTACTCTTGAATTGTATTTCCAGTCACCATATGCTACTTTTCTGCAAGCTGTAATTTAAGCCAGTACTGCTCACAAATTTTGAAAAAGGGAGTCCACAGAAGAGAAAACTCTCTCCTCCTCATGTGCTTGGGATGTTGTGATTTCATCAGTGTTGCTGGACTGTGTGTTCCTTTTTAGAGGAAGTTGCAATTCCCTTCATGGTAAATAGGAAGGAAATGAAGGTGATTAAAGCCCTTAGGATGTAAATTTCAGTGTTGGCCAAAAGGTTCTTTTTATCCCAATCCTGCTTTTGTAAACAAAGCTCCAGTGGGACTGAATCTGGAAAGCTACCACAGCTCCATGACAACTGGACTAGCCAGCCATGGTGACCATCTCCATGTTCACATCGTAGTCATTTATAGCCATGCATATGCACATCGTAGGGACAAACATTCACTTTGGCTCTCACCAAGAAAAAGAGCATTAGCAACCAATTAGTAGAAGATGGTACAGGAAAGGAACACTACTAACAGGTCAACTTTTTGCCTAGTGAACTCAGCTGTAAATTTTTATGGATGATGGTAAGATAAAATTATTGCCCTAGTTTCTGTATGTTGGTCACATAAATGCACTGAAAAGACCCCTAATGTACTGTGATTTCTATTCTTGGACATCAGTGGATGATACAGGTTTTTCTAGGTGTACATATCTGTGTGTAAAGAATAAGGAGGTAGCATGACTCTCAAACAGAGATCCAAGGTTTTCTAGGAAATGTCTTTTAACATCCGTCTTATTTTAAAATGTAAAAAATCCTTTACTAGTTATAAAGTCAAAAATACAAAGGAACAAATCTGCTTACACGTAAAGCAACTGAAGCCAAAAGGTCGGCACTATGGAGCAGCCCTGCACATAACACTCCACTGACTCACCTTTGCATGGGGTGTGCTTCTATCCCACAGGGTGGCACTGCTCACAATGGGAATGTAGCAAGGGGATTTCTGAAACATTAGAAACAAGGCATTTAGTATCACTTCAGTAATTCTTAGAAAGAAACATTTCCATTCCTGTGATGGTTTCTAGGCAGATCAGAAGCTAATTCTTTCAAACAATGGCTGTTCATTCACTGAGCACCCGATATTGCCCACAGCACTGTCCCAGGTGTTTTGGGAACAATGGTGAGCCCAAAACACAGTTCCCATCCTCAAGAGTCCAGAGGAAGCCATGGGTAGTAACGAAATAATCACACAAATAAATGTAAAATTTTAACTCTGATACATGTGATTAAAGAGAGAGACAAAGTATTTTGAAAATATGGTGATATATTGGGATGAAATAGAATTAAACATTTACACCCTTTGCCATGTGACTTTGCTGTACCTCCCATAGCCTGAAGCCCATCCCAGCTGAGCCCAATGCAGCCATAGTCAACCCACAGGTTCATGAACATAAGTAAGAAATGAATGTTTCTTGTTGAAAGTCACTTATTTGGAGTTGCTTGGCATGCAGAATTCTCACTGTAGACACCTGTGACTGAAACAAATATACAAAACATACAATAGATAAACTCAAGGAGGTCAGAAGAGACCCCTGAGGATCTCACAATGGAAGAGAACAAATTTACTTAACTATCAAACCAGACATTTGATTTGAAACTTACTTGCAATTTTACTTAAAATACCAAACCTTAATAAGATAATATCAGGATTTGTTTTCATACTTCTGGTTTTCAATTCAGTGCTTTTTATTTAGTTAGTTATGCTCCTCAAGGTCTTTGACTTTCTGTTGCCCAATATTTGCTAAAACCAGTCTGTTAAGATTGGTGTCATGAAGGAGAGACCCCCAAAAAATCTATCACCAGGATACAAGTATATGTCAGAAAAACAATGGTGAGTCTGCCACTACCTTTCCCAGAGGTGATTAGAGTCTAAAGCAGAAGGTAGTAACCAAAGAATCACATAAATAAAGTTAAGATTCCAATAACACTAAATGTTCTGAAGGTACAGAAACAGGTGAAGTCAAGGAATATAGATTATGTAGACTTGGGTGAGGGCTAGAGACAGAAACTGAGACAAAAATGGAAGAAGAAACAAGAGCTTCTCTGAGATTAAAGTACCATAATAGAAGAATGGTGAGAAGAGCAGTAGAAGGGGGCCCAAGGGGGAAGAAATAGGTAAAATTACTAGAACTTGGAGTAAATAATTGGGGAGGGTAATAGATTTCACAGCACTGAAGCTGAGTAGTGCTACCACTGTGATGCATTTGTACTGCTGCCAAAGACAGGCGGGGTGCATGGGCCCCCCGATACGTCTTCCCATGAGATCAAGAAAATGTGTCTTCTACCTAGTATCCCTGACATCAACTCTGTGCTGGGCACATGGTAAGCATCCAGTCAATGCATTGAAAGAATGCAGGGGAACTCTCCTGTCATCCCAAAAGGAATGTGGTATCACAGGGTGTGGAGCCAGAAGGAATTCTAAATTGCCAACATTTGCACTTGATAGATGAGGAAACTGCTCAAGATCACACAACTATGTAGTGACAAGCCAGGGCTCAAATTTCAGCATCTGGACTTTGTATTCTACCCATCGTCCTCTGTTGGGTTATCAGCACACATGCATAGCCTTCGAAACTGCCGGTTTGATTGGAAAAGCAACCCCATGTCTGCAGGGAGGGGAAGGAATTTCATTGACAAAGCAAGAATTACCAGGGGGAAAATCAGGCCCACCCCCATGATGTGCATCTCAGTTCTCCTCCTCCATGGACTTCCTGCCACTCACTCAAACCATGTACATTCACACATGTGGTATCTTCCAAGTAGGCAACCTTTGCCCAGGGCAATCAGCACGAAGCACTGAATGCTGTCCCAAACCACCCTGCTCTGATCCATTTTTTATTTCAGTGGAGATTTCTTAGTGCCACTCCTCAGAGCTATGCAAGTTGTGGATGGCACAGCAGGGTGGCATCATTCACAGAGACTGTGATGCAAAAACAGTACCTTTTTGGGTAGTTCAGTGTACCACCTGACCGTCTATACAACGCAGTCCTGAGATTTCTGTTGTCCAAACAACAAGACTTTATGGTAGCCAATAGCCCAAGGAAATCATGTGCATTCTGATTGCCTTGGTTTTTTAATTTTTTATAAAGCATTATTGAGATAAAGTTTATGTACAAATAGCTACATATATTGGACATATCTGCAGGAAGAAAGAACAATTAAGGAATGGGAGTACCTTAGAAACCTTTACCTTGAACTTTTAAGCAAGACGAGGAGTCCAGAAAGAAACAGACTAGGAGTACAGGTAGAATTTCCTGGTAAACAAAAAAGCTATTGTAATCAACAAGGCAAAAATAATAACTAAAAAGCTTGAAAGAATAAAGTAGCTGGGATATTCATTGCCAGTCATTAACCTGATTTTCTAATGAATATGGTATTAGGCATTCATTAACAATCATTTGTGTTTATGTTGAACAGTGGATGTATAATGAAGGTTGGTAAATGAAAGCAAAATTAAACCAGGGAATTTTGGACACTTATAAAGCAATTAACTTGTTTGGCAGTAATTACACACTGAAAGCTAAATCAAGTGCATTTAGAAAGCCACAAGAGTCGCCACATAAACCAGAGGTGCTTTGCTCTAAAATAATAGAAAAGCCTCTCTTTCTTTCCAAATGAAAGAGAAAGGCAAAAGTATGGTATAAATGACAAACAAGGCTCAGGTCTAATGAAAAGAAATACGGTTACAGCCCATATGTTAGAGAAGAGGCAAGTTATGAAAAAATAGGACAGCTCAGCTAATTAAAGGAGGGAAAAAAAAAAGCCTTTTGTAACAACAATGATGTGAAAACAGGTGGTATGTGCTAGAGAGTTGAGGTTTTTGTTCTGTTCACGCTCATAGGCATGCACACACATGCAAGCACACACACACGCATCTATACACTTGAACCACCTAATAGGTGCGTGAAGAGTAAAAACTGAATCCACCATCAGGTCCTTGGAAGGCCACAATATCTCAGTAGCAGGTCTTTGTCACTGATGATTTTGTAACATGATTCTCCAGATGAGTGTTTGACCACAGCCTTTTATTCAACCTAGCGCATGGCATTAAAGATCAGTCATTGAACACTCTCTGGGACTCTGTTATTTAAAAAGGAGGAGGGAATAAGGTACTATGGAAGATACAAAGGCGAGACCCAGGGAGAAACCATGACTGAACTGGTGATAAAGCAAAAGCAGTAAACATAAAATTTCATGCATCTACAAGATTCATCAACAGAAATGTTAGTATAAAAATGCATTTAAAATCCAATGAAGCTTTCAGATAAGGAATGAATTTTCTCAGAATTTTCAACCCTACAATATACTAGCCAAGAAATGCTACAGAAGTGCTGTTTTTGTGTATCTGTGTGTGTGGAGGGGCATGTTCCAACGGGATGATAAGGCTGGAGAAGGGAGTCTTCAGATGAGCCCAAAGGTCTGAGCAAAGGGATAAAGTTTTTCAAACTGGAGTCTTGATCATGCTCCTCAAAAAGATCTGAAGATTCATGACCTCTTTCTGTCTGACAAATACCTTCACAAATAGGGAGTTGTAGGCTCTCGAGGGTTAGTAACCAAAAGAAAAGTTCCCAGGGGGATCTATAAAGGGCAGCTGGCTTTGTGGAAACATTTGCAAAACGCTTGGGTGTCAACTATGCTGAAAGCAAATACTTGCTTTGCCTCTAAGGTTGGAACGGAAACCAGGAGATAGCTTTTGAAATCCTTGCTTCAGTCATTAAACTGCTACCAAAAAAAAAAAAAAAAATGTTTGCCTTGATGTGGGATAGTGCATTTCTTTCTAAAGAAATAGTCTCTTTAAAACAATAATCATTTTCTATCCAAGCAGAGGATCAAGACATTAAGATGAAATACTTGTTTCTCACTTATTGAACCCGTTTTAAATATTTAGGTTGTCTACTTAGTTCTAATCTAATGTGGATTGTTTCACTTGCAGTTAACTTGGTTAGAAAATTACTGCCTGATTTTGGCCAAGATCTCATCGATATACCAATGTTCTATTTCATTCTCTTTGCAACAGACCCAATGCCATTCTCTGAGACATCATAGGCAAAGGCATTTAAATATAAATAAATTCAGGGAATACATTATTCTTAAAGGCACCTACTACTAATCCAGGGCTTCTTACATTTTACTGTACATCCAAATCACCTGAGGAGTAGCTAAAATGCAGATTCTAATTCAGGAGGTCTAGAGGAGGGCCTGAGATTTTGGTTTTATAGCAAACTCCCAGGTGTTGTTGGTTCTGGAATAGCAAGGTACTGATCTACTGATCTTTGTAGATAGCTGCTTTCAAGAGGTTATATGGTCAAGACAAGACATAACTGAAGCCCTGGAAAGAGATCAGTTCTTCTCCAAGAAGAGACCTGGATAGCGCAATGGATCAGAAATTAAGCAATAGAGGAATATCCATTAGAGATGAAACATACAAGGAAGGGGTCTGGTCACCACTGCTTCTAATCATCTATGTTTCCCAACTGCCATGGCTTTGCCAACACTTTTCTCTCCACTTGTCCAGATGTTGAGATTAAGACAATTCAGCTTATCAAATAGTTATTGGTTTGCCATGTACTATGTTCAGTACCAAGGATACAAAAATAAATGAAGCATAATGCTCCCCTGGTGCAATTACAACATAGCAGGATAAAGACTGTGAAAATGGATGCATAAGGTACTGGGGAGCTCATCTACCAGAACTGAGGAAAAGATTTAGACAAATGTGAAGAATCAGTAAACACTTCTTGGAAGAGATGTCAGCTGAGCAAGATGTTAAAGAAAGAGCAAAAAGAAAAAAAAAATCCAGTTGAAAAAGAATAAGTAAAAGTAATGTTAATAGAGGGTCAGCACGGGGAAAGTGTAGACTGAGAGAACATTCTGACTCTGCTATGAGCTGCTGCCAGGTCAAATAGTAGATGTGCCCTGTAATAACTCCATTTATCCTCCACC